AGCAGTAGCAGTAGTAGTAGTAGTAGCAGTAGCAGTAGTAGTAGTAGTAGTAGTAGTAGTAGCAGCAGCAGCAGTAGTAGCAGCAGCAGCAGCAGGAGCAGGGGCAGCAGCAGGAGCAGCAGGAGCAGCAGGAGCAGGGCAGCAGCAGCAGCAGCAGCAGCAGGAGCAGCAGCAGCAGCAGGAGCAGCAGCAGTAGTAAATATTTATATATATATAATTATTGAAAGCAACTTGGAAATCTAAGCATTACGATGATTAGAGAAAGTATGTAGCAATAGATTTTTTTAGAACATATGTAGCAATAAATTTTTTAAAAATTTATAGAGTAAAAAAATCAGTTTTAGGCTTGAACCTTTAGCATGGCATCTAGAGCAAGTGAGATAAAGAAATTAGGTACATATTTATATCTTATCCACCCGTCTTCGTCTCTTTAAGTGGAACATTTAAAACCAGAGACGAGACTTATATTACATCCACATTTCAAATTCAAGGGGCTCTCATGTGAAAGGTCGTGATAGAGTATAAAACTAATCTTGACTAAAGCTTCAATTATAAGAGTTTTAAGTTCTCATAACGTCACAAGAGTACTACAACGAATAAAGCGGGTTTCAAACTCTTTACTATGATTATAATGAGGGTACACCTAATCCTTGTTTAGCATAATTTATCATGTCTGAACGATCATACATTGCAAGATTCTCTTGACATCTCTCGGGTTTAAAATCCATCTTCCATTTCTTGGAGTCATGTGAGATTCTGAAGTTTGCTTGTTGATATGCTCCTAAAATGCAAGGCGAGCTCCTCTACCACCATGCAAAACCCGCCATCACTATTAGATGTCAAAAACATATTTTCATTTTCCATAATCCAATTAGTGGTCAATCCCCGACTACCTGTAAATTGAAATATAATTTTTGGAAAAACTTCAGGTCTTTTAGGTCCATATCTGTAACAAAGATCAAAAATTGGACCCTGGTATGGTTGCAATGCTTCCAACCCAAACCTTGCAAAAAATAGCATTATGAGTGACTTAAATGGCTGATATATGGATCGAGGAAGTAGCATATATGGTGCACCAGAATCAATGATAAAGCCTCTGAGCTCTTTATTAAAGTCTGGTGCACAAAAAGATCGATTATACGGAACACTTTTACCATCCACACTATACCTCGTAAGAATAATTGATAGTTTGATGATGGTATTGTGTTTAATCTTAGCACATCAGGCCCTTCTATTTGAGCACTAGGGCCAAAATGGACAGTAGAAATGCCAGGATTTGTCTCAGCCCAAGACGTTAAGCAATAAGAAAATCGACCTTGGGTTACACCGTCTAATTGGGTAAGAAATGATTGTGGACCGGGTGCAAGTCCGAAGACCCCAGCTATAGGGTTGTTAGGACCATTGTTTAACCCGAAGCTGAAATTTCTGTTTTCTAGACCACACCCAAATGCTAGATTCTTGAAATGGTTGTGGTTTATGGGTATCCGAGTTTATGAAAAGAAATGTATCCGTTCCCATAAGACCGGTTGTGGATGAAATCATAGATGGATCTCCTCCGTACCCTCTTTTAAAGCCACATGCCCAATGATAAAGAAGTCTAGGGTTGCATCGCGGATCATCATAATTTAAAAGTTTATAAGAAGTCGAGGTAGAGGGTTGAATGTTTCCACCCTTTACCTCGAAACATGGGTTGCATCTGGCACATTGGATCCACGTCCTATCATCCCCAGCGTCGAGTATAACGTAAGGGGAGAATAGTTGGCCTGTTCCGAAGAAGATCTCTGTTACATAATAATTGCTTAAAATACGATATGATGTCGTATCTATTATGTTTGTACTTAAACTCGAATTTTTCCTTGTATATTATGATGACACTCGTGCCATGGATATGTTCTTGAGGAATTGGTAACGGTCTTTGGTGTTTAGATTTTGAGGTACAATTTGTAAACGGGGTGAATCTAAAGGAATCATTGGTAAGGAGAGTGTGTTAATTCTAGTGAACAACATTGAAGTAATAAAGATGTGTAAGAAAATAAGGTTCATTGAAGCCATTTTTTTTTAACTTTTTGAAGTGTATGTATTATGGAGTGCTATGTTCATGTAACAATGTATATAGACAAGCTCAAAAAGAAAATAATTATTGGCAATTCTAATAAAATTTGAAAGAAAGAAATGTACAATAATGTATGAAATAATGCAAGTTTAAAAGGAAAGAAATCAACTACTTAAAGGGAAAGAAATCAACTACATACTAAAAAAGGAAAATATCAACTAAATCTTGGAATTGAAAGGAAACAAATCAACTATATCAAATTGATGTGTCTATTTTATTTACAATTCTATCCTTCCAGGTCATATATGCTCTTATTTGAGCTAAACTAAGTCATTTATTAATACTCCCTCCGTCTTTTAATAAATGTTACACTTACCAAATCCGGCCGTTGTAATAAGTGTTACACTTCCTTTTTTGGCAAAAAGCTACAATAAAATATTATATATATCTCCTCTCATGGTCCCCACCCAAACCCACTACTATTTTTTTTTATTATATCTTTCCTCTCACACTCATTACTTTTCAATAAACAATAAACTCCACTATCTTTCTTTTACAATTTTTTAATACTCCAACTACCCCACTTACCTCTTATTTTATTTAAGTCGATTAAATTACTTAAAACTACGTGCCGGTCAAACTGTAACACTTAAAAAAAACACAGAGGGAGTATTTGTTTCCTAATGTTTTTGTAGCATTAGTATTATTTTGTAGCAATTTGCAAATTTATGACAATTACCAAGCTCATTCATTTAAGTCAACACAAAACATTAGAGTAGAATCATATTACATGACCGAATATTTGAAGCCTAAGGTCGAGCTAATGAAATTTGGTTCGATAATTAAGGGCTCGATTAAGTGACTAGGCTACGAAAGTCCAAATTACAAGCATGGACCAAGTAGTGAATAGATACAAATTCTTGGCTGCATTCTAATGCAGCCAAGATGGCTGCAACAAGCCAAAATGTAGGCTTCAATCAATGAAACGCATTCTCCTTTAACCTTTCTTCTTCCTGATAGAAATTTCCTTATTTTTTCGCCTCTTTCCTTATTTTGTTTATATGATTCAATTTCTTTCTTCATTCAAATTACACATTTGATTGCAATTTTCTCTCTCCTCTCTCTTTTTTCCATGTGATATTTTCTCTCTCCTCTTCTTCTTTTTTAATCAAGATTTTCTCTATGCTCTCTTCTTCAATTAATAATGGAGGTGGTTGTTGTTCCTGATGAAATCAAGGTTAGTTTTGTGTGTTTATAATTAATTAGGTTTTATTTTTGTTGGATTTGTAATTATTTCTGATTTTATAACTTTATGAATTTTATGAATTTCAATTTACTATTGATTAATTGATTTTGATTAATAGATTTTGACGACATTGATTTTGATGAATTGAATGAATTCGATGAATTTCTGATTCATTTAGCTTTTCTAGTTTTATAATTTGATGAATGTTGTTCTACATTTTTATGATTTATTTTGTGATTTTATAATTAGTGAATTTTGCAATGGATTTCATGAATTTGTTCAAATTCTATCTACATTTTGCTGATTTTGATGAGTTGGACTATTTCAACTTACCAATGCTATTGATTTCTTGAAAATAAGTTATGAAATCTTGAATTGCCACTACAAAAAAAATGAGAATAGGCAACACTTAAGATTGCAACACTTACATAAATGTTACTCTTAATAATCTAACGCAACAATACTTATTTGTTACCTTGAACTAAAGTAACAGAAAAAAAAAAGTGTTGCTCTAGACTATATAAGACAACAGTCGCTTAAAGTGTTACCTTTTTCTTGTCTAAGACAACAAATATAATAATTGTTGCATGAAAAGATAACAATAACAAAACTATTGTTTGAAAAATGTAACATTAATATCTATGTTGCCATCTATAGCAACATTTATATTAAAATGACAACATATATATATATATATATATATATATGTGTGTGTGTGTGTGTGTGTGTGTGTGACTCTGAGGTCACAAGTTCGAGCCCTACCAACTACTAAATGCTTGGGAGTGACAACATTTTTGAATTATCTTCTTATATGGCAACATTTTTCATTTGTTGTCTTTGTTAAAGTGTTGCCTTATGTATCATTTTACCTAAGCTTTCAAATTGTTGCCTTTGAATAACAATGTGTTGCCTTATGAATAGACAACGGGGGCATAAATTATGCCTCATATGTGTTGTCTTAGCTACAAGGAAACACTTTTTTTATATTAGACAATGGTTTTGCATTGTTACCTTTGCTTTATTTTGTTTAAGCATGCTTAATTTGTTATATTTTTTGTTTTTATGATTTTTTTTTAATTAAATTTGTTTTTGAGTTCATTTTATAAACATTTAGCATTGTATATGTTTATCATTTACATTTTGAATATATGAACATTCCATTTCTATACTATGAACATTCATTCTCCAGAAGTGAGCAATGTACAATCACCAGACAATGAAAAGTGTTATTTCGTTCACTATATATAATCATTGTGAACATTTATTGTCCATTTTATGAACATTTATTGTGCAGATTATGAACACTTTGTTATTTTTATTATTTCAAAGAATACAAATGCAATTGTGTTTGAGGAAGTCGAAGTATCTAAAGTAATGTTGAAAGAAGTTGGAAGAGAGCAGCAAGCATTTGATTTGTATAATGATTATGCCTTTAAGATGGGTTTTAGTATAAGGAGGGGCAATGTACGAACAATTTATAACACTAACATTTGGCGAAGTAGGAAATATGTATGTTCAAATGTTGGTTTGAAGGATGTTAGGAGGTATGAGAGGTTGGATTTTCGAACAAATTGTGGTGCTCTAGTTGAGTTCATTATTGATAATCGTGGTGTATGGACTATTGTGCAGCATCTTATGGAGCATAATCACCCTGTGATACCAATTGATAAGAGACATTTGCTTAGTTTCAAAGAAAAGTGAAAAACATGAATATATTTTAACAATTTATAATATCTTTATTTTTTTTGTTAATAATTATACGGAAATTTCACCATATACCATTGAGTTAAAGCTTAATTCACCATATACCGTAGAAAACTTTCTAATACACCATATACCATTCAGTTTAACTAAAATGTCACAACATGCCATTAATGACTAACGGACGTTAACACCATTAGTCATTAAGGCTAATAAGGCCACGTGGCAACATATAATTTGTTCCCTTTTAAATTACTTAATTTTAAAATAATTATATAATTAATTATCAAAAGATTATACAAAAAAAAAAAAAAAAAAACCAGCCACCCTTAGCCACTGCCACCCACAGCCTAGCCCCGACCCCACCTCCGGTTGGCCGTCTGGTCCATTTCCTGGCTGGCGTCGACCATCCCCCCTCCCGCCGGTGAAAATCTCGACCCAGCCACCACCTTGTCCCGACGACCCCTGCCTGCACGTAATTTGACCAAAATCTCGGCGCCGACGCGAAAACCCACCAGAACCCCTGTACCGACGTGGAATCCGGCCAGAACCCTCGTTGGCGCTCTCCCCCTTCCCTTGAACCACCGTTCCCGAACACTAAAAAACCCCTATCTCCCTCGAAAAACCCTCCCCTAACCACCTGCCGACGCCCAAACACCTTTCCCTCGCGTCGGCGAACCTAATTCTCCTCCCTCACGTCGTCGCCGCCCAGTTTACTTGAAAACAACCACCCCAAAACCCTAAAACCCCATAATTGAAACCCTAGATTTTGGTTTAAGGGTTTCGAGGTGGTGATTCAGGGGAGCAGGAAAATGGAGATGGCAGAGGGAGGGGCGGATTAGGTTTGTCGGCTTTTGCAAGGGGGCTTAGACGGCCGACGGGTTGGGAGGGAGGCTTTTCGAGGAAGGGATGAGGTTTTATATTGAGAAGATGATGGTTTGCGAGAAGAGGAAGACGCCAACGACGGGAGGTTCAGGGTTAGAGTGCGCCGCTGCGGGGTTTAGGGAGGAAGTGCCGGTGTAGGGTGGCCGGGGGTTGGGGGCATTGTGGGCGGTTGGGTTACGGAGTGGTGGTTGGCTGAGGTTTTTTTAAATTTTAGAATAATTATTTAATTAAATAAATAATATTAATAATCACCTATTACAAGCTGCCACGTGGCATAATTAACGTTAATAACTAACTAAGTTAACGGAAATGGCATGTTGTGATATTTTCATAAAACTGAAGGTTATATGGTGAATTTGAAAATTTTGGGTGGTATATGGTGAATTTACATTAAACTCAATGGTATATGGTGAAAAATCCGATAATTATATACAATGAATTTGAACTTAAATGAAAATCATGTTCATTTTAATATCCTAAATGTTCATAACTTTTTGTTTTTTTTAATACTAATTGTTTATTTTTAGAGTGTTCTAATATTTTTATGAAATGTTCATTTAAGTTGAAAGTGTAATTATAATACATTGAAAGTTGAATTATATGAATATTTAGTGTTAAAAACCTGAGCATTATATATATTTACCTATTTGTTATGAAAATGTATATGTTTTGTTATTTATTACGAACAAATCTGTTATTGATTTTGAACACATGTGACATATAGAGTGATACTTTATATTTTTAATTATTATATTGATGATTATATATTATGAACATTCTAAACAATTATTATGGACATATAATGTGATGATCTTGATTGAAAATTCTGATTATTTGTTGTTATTTGTTATATTTTAGTGAGTACAGATCAATTGTATTTGTGGAAGGCCAAGAATCTGAATTAGTGAAGAAACAAATAAGTGATGAAGAAGCATATGATATGTACAATGATTTTGCCTTTAAGTTTGGTTTTTGTACAAGGAAGGGGAAATTACAAAAGTTGGTTAGACTAATGTTTTGTAAATTTTTTTTTAATGTATTTTGATGTTGTCGCAATTGAGGGAATGAATGGCCTATTGTTGGTGGATCGCATAATTGTTCACGTTATAATGAAATGTTAACAATAATGTCTAACAAGACAATTAATTTACTTGTTTAAAAAAAAAGACAATTAATTTACATTTTTAAAAAATTGATTATAAATTTTCATTTAGCAAAAAAATGTAAAAGTATACATTATACTACATTATGAAGTTCAATATTATAATTCATTTACATTTTTAAGATTTATGTTTTTATTTACACTTTTTAAATTTAAACATAAACTTTAAAAATAAACAAGTAATACATGAACATAATAGACAAGAAAGTTGAACAACTAGTAAGATATATATGAAGAAACTCCCAAATATATTAAGATAATTGTTTACAAACCACACTTGTTTATAAAAAAGATAAACCACACTTGTCCTACATCAATCCCAAAAATATATTTTTTTTTAAGTTACACTTGTTTTGCAAGGTAATTAATATTTCAATTACAACATATATAAAGTCTATCTCGATCATTTCTTCTTGTAGCCATCCTTACTCTACGTCCTTCTCTGATTGTGTTAATTAGTATAGGTTCTTGTAGCCATGTCTATTCTACGCTATTCTCTGTATGTGTTACTTAATCTAATTTTAACACAAAATTCGCCTTTAGCTTCCAAATTTGATCAGCCTGAAAACAAAAATATGAACAAATGAATTAATTATTTGAACATATAAGTTTCAAAAATGAACACACGTTTATAAATAAATATTTTAAATTTAAATAACTTGTATCATTAGCTTTTAAGGCACAAACCCACTCTCGCAAAGAAGTTGAAATGTATATTTCCATATGCTTCATTTAATAAACTTAAAGCCAACTAAATATGAACATAAAGTTAAGTGATTATGCACATCAAGAATACAGAAAATGAATCTATATGCGTTAATAAAATGAACATACAAGCCTTAAAAATTGAACATATTTGTTACTATCCTTGTAAAAAAAATTGAACATAGGACGGATGTTTTAAAAATGAATTTACCTATTTTTTAAAAAAAAAAAATGAACATTTAGGATGTTTTAAAAATGAATAATACGCATTAAAAAATGAATAGACTTGATACTTGTTATTAATCTTAATAATATGAAACTTTAAGATTAAAAGAACGAGCAAAAGGAATTTTGAAGTTTATGAACATAACAAAAATGTAGATCAACAATGTAACAATAAATTTATAACATCAACAATGTAAAATAATCATTTGTACTTACATTTCATCTTGATTTTCAGTAGTTGTTGAAGAATTTTTTGTTTCTACAAAAAAAATAAAAAAAAATGAAATATGTACCTCAAATTATGAATACAACCTCAAAAATTAAACAAATCAATTCGACTACTTGTAAATTGAAACTAATCTAAAAAAATTTCATATAATTTCATCTTCTTTGGGATAGATTTCATTCATGAATTTTCAAGAAAATATATATCCAACAATTCACACAAAAGTAAGTAATATTCACTAAATTTACTTTTTTTGGGAGTATTTGTTTGATTTTTCACTTCATCCCGAAAATACATGGTTGTTCTTCCATATTTGTAGTGATAGAAATTCATAGAGGAGAGCAAATGAATTGTGTTTGATTCTAGTGAGAGAAAACCATAAGGAGGAGAAATAAATTTCAGAAAAAATAGTGGTTGTTGAAGTGAGTTGAGGGAGGTATGTTCTGGGCCGCTTTTAATTAGATGAAGTCTGGGCCGCATATTTTGGGCCGCGTCTTGTTGCAGCTAAGATAGCTGCATTAGAGTGCAACCAAGACCAATTGGTGAATATAAGGAAATTGAGCTAATTCATATCAAAGCCCAGTTACAAATCCAAGAAGTAAATGGCCCATGCAAGTAGTAAGCTTGTCCCTCATCTGGCAAGGCGGGGCCCAATCAAGCAAAGAAAATCATTATTAGTTGTTTATAATTTTTTTTCTCTACATCCCAATGTAGGTATTTCATTCTACGTATCACCTCTCCTAATGTATGAGTCAAATGAAGCTCGCAAACTTAAAACATGTTGTGAATATACTCGATAATAAAAAAAAGTGGGATTTGACATTGTACGATTAGGGACGAAAAGTAGGGTATACCTCCAACAAGTTTTTGAGGAACTTGTAAACCATTCATGGATCATTAAAGACAATCACAAAAAGGGAGAAACCGAAAGGCATTAACGATTTGATTGCCAAGCATATTCATAACATGTATAATTAGGTTACACCCCATGAGATTTCTAACTCTATATGGTCATGAATTGAACCACATATGAAGGATCGGGGATGATGGTACGAAGTTGAATCATGAAAGTCAACTCAACTTCGCCCGCATTGGCATCTACTTGATTCGACGATTATTTTCTCTTAATCGTTTCTTTTCTCTGTATGAATTCATCTTAGATTATATCCGTTTAGATGGTATTCTCCAAAATCTTGACCGTTTAGGCTGGAAATATAATAGTCTAATTTCTTCATAAATTAGATTATATCCGACCCTTTTCTCTTAATTTTCTTTAGTTTTGCAAATGGAAAATTGTCTAAAAGTGATATATATGTTCACTATTTTGTCCGGAAGGACCTTATATGTTTAAAATTGTTTAAGAGGACCTTATAAGTTTATTTTGTTGTTTGGGGAGAACTTGAGGTCATTTTCGGCAACAATTGACTTTTTTTTTTCTCCGGAGTAGACCTCTCTTGTGACCTTAAAAAAATGAACCCCTTTTCTTTTTTTCTATGATTTCCCTCCAATTCCTCCTTCTCTCTCTTCTAATCCCCAAATGACACAAATCAAAATAAGAGAATTTGAGGGAAATTGTGGAAAAAAAGGAGGGGTCATTTTTTAAGGTCACATTAGGTCTTTCTAGACAAAATAGTGAACATATATGTCCTTTTCAGACAAATTTTCCTTTGCAAATTTGGTTTCAATAAATCTACACGAGTAGTGTAGATATTTGTCCATCTCCCTATGGTAGAGTTGTTAGTTTTTGTTTGTTTAGTTGTATGTTTATGTTTAGGGTTTATAAAAAATGTAATCATA